TAATTATTTATGTGGAAAACTCTTAAGAAATCTGCATAATTACTAAAAGTACTAAATGGATTTAGCAGGATTCCAAGTCAATATATAAAATTCCACTATATTTCTTTGTAGTACCAACAATATCTGAAAATAAATTTTTAAAAATAATCCAGCAAAAACAACATTAAAAAATAAAGTTATTATAATTCAAAGCAAAATGGACCAAAATAGCTTTCAGAAATAGGCCAACATATATATAATATATATTCAACTAGAGGCCCAGTGCATGAAATTTGTGCACTGGGCGGGGGGTGGGGAGGTCTCAGTTCTGATTGCAAGAGGGTGCAGGCCGGGCCCAGGGACCCCACCAGTGCACGATCAGGGCAGGGAAGGGATGCAGGATATTGGCCAGTTGGAAAGGGATCGAGGAAAGGCTCCAGGGCTTGTCTGGCCCATCTCACTCAGTCCCAATCAGCCAGACCCAGCAGCAAGCTAACCTCCCCGTTGGAATGTCTGCCCCCTAGTGGTCAGTGCATGTCATAGTGAGTGGTTGAGCAGACTTAGCATATCATCAGCATATTATGCTTTGATTGATTGAATGGCCAACCAGGTGACTGGACACAGCATATTAGGCTTTTATTATATAGGACTAGACCTATATAATAAAAGCCCTCTGCAATCTGGGGGCCCATAGGGGATGTCTGACTATTGGGATTGGGCCTAAACCAGCAGTCAAGACATCCCTCACACAATCCAGGATTGCTTGATCCCAACTGCTTGCCTGCCTGCCTGCCTGATATCCCTAACCACTTTTGCCTGCCAGGCTGATCAACCCCTAAATGCTCTCCTGCCAGCCTGATTGCCCCAACTTCCCTCCTGTGCCAGCCTGATGGCCCCCAACTGCCCTCTGCTACAGGCCTGGTCACCCCCAACTGCCCTCCCCTGCTGGCCTGTTTACCCCAACCTTCTTCCCTTGCTGGCCATCTTGTGGTGGCCATCTTGTGATGATGTCATGCGAAGGTGTGATACCACCTAGGCTTTTATTATATAGGATTGATTTCCAACAGGGATGTCATAGTATTTCAAAAAGGAAACAACAGTCCTTTCTAAAATGGTGCTAAAAAATTAGCAATGTACATGAATAAACTAATCTTAACTTACCACTTCATACACAAAATCAACTCAAAATGGATTCTATAAGTAAATCTGAGTTAAAAGTATAAGTATTTCATATGAAAACATTTTTTTAAAATCTTTGTGATTAAGCAAAGATATTTTAGATAAGACATGATTTTAAAAAACATGCTTAACGAAGAAAAAACTGTCTAACTAGAACTCTACATCCAAAAATATAAGCTTTATAAATAAAGGCAAAATAAAGACATATTTAGACATATAAAACTGAGGAAATTATTCTCTTGCAGAATCTCACTACCTGATATGCTAAAAGAATTTTATTGGCTGAACAGAGTTGGCACTAGATAGAAAGCCCAGATATCCAGAAAGAAATGAAGAGAACCAGAAAAGAAAAATACAAGCGTGTTTTAAAAACCTTTAAAACTTATCTTTATTTTATAAATATTGTAATCTTCACTGACTTCTCACTGAAGCAAAAATAATAACTGTTGTGGAATTTATAGCAATTATGGAAGAAAAATACATGAGAATAAGGGGGCAAAGGACAAAGATAAATGAATTCTGTGACCTAGTGTGTGTGTGTGTGTGTGTGTGTGTGTGTGTGTGTGTGTGTGTGTAGTACTATAACATCATTTGGAGGCCATTTATAATTAGTTAAACATGCATACCATCTTACTGTGAAACCACTAAAAATAATGGAAGCCAACACATGAAATGTAATGTAAAACTAAAAATCATTTGATCCATCAAAAAGAAGAGAAGAACAGAAGAATAGAAGAACAAAGAATGAATGGGATCCATAAAAAAACAAAAAAACAAAAAAAACAATACAAAACAACTTTCAACTGTGTTAAAAGTTGCATTAACTGTACATGGACTAAACCCTCTAATTAAAAGGCAGAAACTGTTATGTTTAAGCTGTTTACAAAAACCACTTCAAAAATATAAAACACAAATTAAAAGTAAAAAGGTGAGAATGCTATCAGCCAAAATGCAAAAATAAGAAACTCCAAGTTCTGCCTCTCCTTAAAAAGCAATAAAACAAAAAATCAGGCCAAACTGTCAAAAGCAACTCTTCTTGAACTCTGAAAACTAATCAAAGATTTATAGCAATCAGGGGAACCCTGGCTGAAGACAACTGCTGATCCTCAGAAAGAATGGTGAGCTTTGTAACGTTTTAATTTACCTCTCCAGGCCAGCAGTCACTCTGCATACAACAGTTCACATACCTGGTTCTGCAGAAAGCAGAAACTACCTCATTCATAAAGAATTCTAATTATTGTTCAGAACTGTCTGGTACTTCCCTGGTAGACCTATCTTTATTTCACCTAACTCCTGAAACTGGCTTAATGCTAATTGCTTCCTCGGAGACATTTGTCAATACCATATCTTAACTGGTATTGGACCAAACTCTCTAAAAGGTAGAAACTGTTATGGACCAAACCCTCTAAAAGGCAGAAACTGTTATGTCTAAGCTGTTTACAAAAACCACTTCAAATATAAAACACAAATTAAAAGTAAAAAGGTGAGAAATTATTGCTGCTGAGGCAATAATAACAGTTAGAGCAAACAGTGGACTAACCAAACACGTGAAAGCACCAGCTAGGGAATGAGATGTCTGTAAGGACTTTGAATAACTCTGACATATTCCTGGTACTCTGGGAGAACACAAACACATACTCAGAACTGTGCACATGTTCAGGAAAGAACTGAAAAGACCCTAAGCTCTCAACTCCTGCTGACCTTGGGGCTCTAAAAAAAACCCCAGGAAGTGGAGGCTAATATAATTGCAAATTGCCGGGCTGAGTGGTGAAAGTATACCTCAAAACACACATGAGCCCTTTGGCATAGATTGGAAGAATTTCCTGGTTCCAGGCATTAATAGGGGATTCCTATTAATATTACATTTATTGGGTTTATTACAATACCTAGTTTGTATTTTTGCATTTTGTTGTATTCAATAACAAAAAATGTACACATGCCAAGAAACAAAGTATGACATATACATTGAGAAAAAGTTATTGGAAACTCTGCCTGAGAAACCTTATACACTTAATATAACAGAATATACTAGACCAAGACTTTAAATCAGCAATTAAAATGTACTCAATGAATTAAAAGAAAAAAAATCTCTAAAGAACTAAAGAGAAAAATAAGAATGATGTTTCACCAAAAATTATCAATAGTTAGGAAAAACATTTTTAAGCCAAACAGAAATTTTGGAGTTGAAAAGCATAACTCAAATGAAAATTTCACTAAAGGAGCTCAATAGCAGATTTGAATAGGCAGAAGAAAGAATAAGCAAACACCTAAATTATGCAGTTGGAAGAACAGAAATAATAAACAAGGGAGAAAATTGAACACAGACCTGTGGGCACCACCATGCATGCCAACATACAGGTAATGGAAATTCCAGACAGAGAAAGAATACTTGAAGAAATAATGGCTGAAAAACTTCCAAACTTGATGAAAATCATTAATCTGCATATTCAAGCAGCACCACAAAGTCCAAGTAGAAAAAAAAAATCAATCTACTAGAAATGTTTTAAAACTCATAGTTTAAGGAATCCCTACCAACAAAAGACCATGGAATTTCTCTTCCTAAAAAGCTGATTTCCAATTTTTGCATGACTCAACCTCTATTTATTTTAATTCTCTCTAGGCATGAAATGGCTTTTTTGAAAAAAGTATTTCATTAAAATTATTTATAGACATATGTCCTAGTCCAAATGCCATAAACATATTTTTTTTCTGGAGTGAATAAAAATAAAAAATAATGAAATGTGTAGCACATTTGGTACGTGTGCATCTTAACTCGTTTTTCGTACTCTTTTGGGCAAGAGTTGCTCTGGTGAAAGAGATAAGGAGAGCTTTCCAACAAACCACCCACATTCCCTCATAAAAATGAGGCCAGGTTGGCTGCCTGTAATTCATTATCAATCTTTCCCAGAGCCCTATCGCATCTCCCCCATTCCCTTGTCCCAGCATAATTCTAATCAGGTTTTTGCCCCCCAAGCGGAAGATTTCTCCATGCTGGCTCAGACCTGGTTTGGAACATTTTATTGGCAATACCGGTGTCATATTCAGGAACCAGAGACTTTTTGTCAGAGCGGATTAGATTGAGTGACAAGTATCAATGTTCAACTACATTTGAAATATTGTTCAAGTCCCTAGAAATAATAGGCATTAAAATTCTTTCTGTTCACTGCAACAAACCTCTAAAGATTTCATGTCCTCAGTGGAACCGGTATACTGTAATTGCTATTTGGAACTCAGTGTAACCTCAACAGCAGTGGAGACAATACAGTCCTCTCATTACGTACATGCTCTAGGATCGTTTATTTTAATGCTTTCAAATAAATATGTTCCATGCAGCACACCACAATAAATAAGGAGCAGCAACGTTCTCCTAGCAAATCCATTCATAATGTGAGTCACCATGTAAAACACCACATCGCAAGTCTTTGGCCCTGGACCATATCATGGAGCACACCACATCTGCACCTAATCATATCTGGCATCATATGGATTTAATAGGACTATGCCAGAAGTGCATGTAAGCACAAATTTAACCAGAGGTTTCCAGCTATTAAATACAGCTACTAAGTAGTTGAAAGGCAACCTAAACCCGTAAAGGTTCCCCCCCGCCGCACCCCAACCCCCACCCTTAATTTCGAGGCAGAAATATAAAGATAAAAATGCTCTGGTGAATTTCAGGTTAGTGGAGCCAGGGTGGGATAGATTTAGAGCAAAAGCTGGCACGATACGGCACCCAAAATGTCATGGCAACACTAATACTGAATGGACACAGGTCACGGTGGGAGGGAGGACTGTGCAAGCTGAATTCTAGAAGGAGGACTTGGAGGTGGGGTGGCTCACTTCCACTAGGCAGCCAGCTCCACAGCGCCTTCCTCCTCGCTGTCAGCTCTGTTAGCACGGATCTCCACGAGGGTCCTGGCAAATCGGGTCCATTCATCGTTGTGGGGCACCGCAAGCTGCAAAGCAAATGAATGGGAAACGGTGAAAAGATGGAGTTACGCCTGAAAGCCTTGAAGCCAGCAGGACTGCTGCTCCTGAAGCTGGTGTGGCCCTCGGAAGGTAAAGGAAACCAGATCTCTATCCTTCTTCCTTGAATCAGTTAGATTCCCTGAAGTATTGCTCTGAAACCGGCAACGTAAGGGAGCACCATCAAGTCACTCTGAGAAGCAAGATCACTCATGGAATTTAAAACACCTTACAGAGCTATGTAAACTATACTATTACATGTAACAGCCACATTAAAGCACCTTCAGTAATGAAAAATTCATCATAAGCAAACCAGATTTACAGTGGACACAACAAATAAAAATTGCCATATTGACTAGGATTTTGAAATAACTGTGGCACTGTCTTTCGAAGTCAATGCCTTGAGTCCTTCCTTTAAGAGTGTTAATGCCAGGCCAGCGTAGCTCAGTGGTTTATTGTAGACCTATGAACCAGGAGGTCATGGTTTGATTCCTGGTCAGGACACAGGCCCAGGTTTTTGGGCTCAATCCCCAGCAAATCAATGATTCTCTTTCATCAATGTTTTTCTCTCGCCCTCTCCCTTTTTTTCTGAAATAAATGAAAATATATTCTTAAAAAAATGAAAGTATTGTTAATGTGCCAATATACATAACAAAAGTCTAGATGCAGATACAAAGAAGTCTTACTTCTATGAAATAATGTTTTGGCTTTTCCAGCAAGATCTTATATGAATAATAGTAATAGTAGCCAAAATTTACCAAAAATTCTGTTCACAGTACTTCCCATGTATTAACTCATTCCTCGCAACAATCCTATGTAGGGTAATATTAGGGTTTCATTTTACAGAAGAAGGAATTGAGGAACAGAAAAATCACCCTACCAAGCTTACAAAGGTAGCAATATCAAAGCCAAGATCATCTAGTTCTAGTATTTACAGCCTTAGCTAGTATGCTATACTGACTCACTAAAAATGGGACTTAAAATTTTTCCTGAAGACTATCTTCTTCTGAGCACCATTTAGTGAAGAGACATTACCCCCATCCAATATGAATTGCATGCAGACATTTTCATTAGTTGATTTAAAGGATAACATTTTTTTTCATAACATCCAAAAATGAATTGCTTAAAGAAACCAGGAAAGTGATTGGAATAGAAAGAATTATTTGAAACTGAGAAGCAGGGTCAAGTAGACATCTCAATGGTTTTCAGATAGAATGAAACTGATTTAGAGTGTAGAGCCATTTTCTTGGAGGATTACTCTATAAAATGGTATAATCCATCTCTATAGGAGTGTTACATGCTCTATCTACATTTTGTATAAACATTAATACCATATTCATTCCAATCAATATACATTATTTTAAACTATAAACGAGGCAGAAAATAAATCTAAGGTTAGAGATCACTTCCACAGCTGAAAAACCACCCACTATGTAATAGAACCAAACAATTAGAACTTAAAACTTTTATTACAGGGGATGAGAGTCTCAGATACTATCTGTCCAAGACAACTTACTGGAGAATGGCATCACCATTCTACAAAGTATGTCCTTCAATTAATGTTCTGGTACCAAGGTTAAATGTTTCAAGAGTTAAAATACAGGTGGGGGATATAAATTCTACTTAATTTTGAGAAAGGGTATAACAATAAGAAGTCTCATTTAGTCATATGAATGTGTTTTTGAATGGCTAAATACTTCCCTGGTTATTAAAATGAATCCAAATTTGTGTTTTCACAAATAGTATTGATGACACTGTTATTCTTTCACTCAGTCCATTTTCTTACTTTGAGCTCTTTTCCTAGGTTCTGTTATTCCTCTTTTATTCTTCAATTTTAGAAAATATTGCACTGGGGATATGAAGCCCAGACAATAAATGATACAAAAGAGCTAACAAAAAGCAAAAGAAGAATAGGGTTGGAATCATATTTATATTTATATTTTGTCTCTTCCAACTCTTGACCAAGTCTTCCAAAAGAACCACACATCAAAAGCCCAAGAAGAGACAAAATCTAATCATGATAATATATTTATAACTTTTTTTCCTATAAGGAGTATACTGTTCACAAAGATCAATATGCTCTGGGAGTTTGGCTCCCAATCATAACATTAGATTATTGATATATTCATACAAATTTAAGTTAACATATGATGCCAGATGTAATGTTTTATTGATATCAACATCTAATAACTATACACTAAAATAAGAAAATAGGTAAATATGTTTACACAGTTTCATGTGGTAGTAATGAAAGACTATTAAGAAATGACACCAATAAAAATTATGAGACATTAAGGTTAGGACATGTGCCCAGATACAGTTGAGGAAAGAATTGAGTATCACATATAACATACAGAGTTGCACATCTAACTTTTCAAAAAATAAATTTTATTAAATTTAAATGTTTATCATAAACAAACAAAAAAAATACCCTACAATGGAACTACATTTGACCTTCTCCATGGAGTTGGAAATAGTAGTTCTATTATACCAATATTTGTCCTTAAAAATACAGATTATCCCTCACAAAAGTTTTCACAGTATTCTAACATATCTTGTCCTCCTTTTGATTTGTGAAAGTTTCACTTAGTTTGGAAAAACATTAGAAGGTGTTTTTCCCAAAGAAAAACTCTGTTCTGTAAGTATTTTCCTCTCCAAACTATCATAAATAACACAGAAATGCTAGTTTGTTTCAGTTCACACAAAAAATCCTAGAGTTGAACACAATAGAAACACAGATGCTTCCAGAGATTTAAATTGACCTACCTCATCCTATTATATGTTTTCAACTAGTTGACTATAAAAATAACCCAAGATGATTGTAATGTTAGAGTTAGGTGAACTGCAGACTGCCCCATTTTTAGAATTAAGTATCACCATCAGGAAGCACTTTCAGTATAATCTTATCTTGATGTGTGAATGTGTACTCACAGGTTGTTTTCATACCCAAAGTAATAATTTTGGGCATTTGAAATTCTTGTGTGGAAGACCAAGCAGGTGTCCTAACAAGCAAGATCCCTGTACATTGTACAGCTCTGGCTGCAGTAGCCTCTTTCCGGACAGCACTGTCCTTCCTGCTCTTGGCTGTGCCTGGCTCTTCTCACTTGATCCTTTCTGATTAGAAATTGCTAGAAAGGAGTCTCACAAGCATAAATGCACCTAGGACTTTCTCGAGGTGACTTTTAATCCAATAATACCTCAATCGTTCAGTAAAAAAAAAAAAAAAAAATATTTGCTCATGTTTTTTAGTTAAAGAACAACTCTGCCCCATATCCTTCTAACCAGTATACAAACTTATTCCATCAGCATGGACTGAGCACCAACTATATGCCAGGCACTAAGTTAAGAACTGAAGATACAACAGTGAATCATTTTGTCATGTGACGACCATGAAATACAGATGAAAATTAATTTATCATGTTTTCTAAGGTCAAAATGTGTGAATACTGGCATAGGATTTAAAAAAAAAAAAAAAAAACTTACAGACATTCAAACTATGAAGAGCTAAAAATCTACCCCCTTACAGTGACAACTGCAGCATTTCCAGGTATGTGTCATGTGTCAAGCAAGAAGCAGGAAACGAATGGCACGGTAATGACATGACTTCCTCATCTTCAAGTTTCTATCAAGGCATTAAAGGGTGAATCTAGAGCATCACTATGGCTTTCTCTCCTAAAAATAATAGTTTAAAATAATTTTCAAGGAATTTATATTTGTGATGGGAAAAACATCCACAAGTTTCTAACGGCGATGATTAATTTAAATCAATTACAAAGTCTATTGGAAGCACCATGAAGAAAATAGCCCACAGTCATACCATAAGAAAGAACTCATAAAGACTGCCCAGGATTGTACTGAGTCAGAGCGGGTCTGGAAATGTTTTCCTCCTTCAGATTCATTGGCCGAAGCCCACATCCTAGGTCAGGATGACTCAGATTTTCCCTCTGCATCAGATATGGCTGGTTTGCCCCCAGCCCATTAGATGACTGTTTTCTAAAATTTTGCTAAATGGATAAAGCATATATTTATGCCCCAAACACTCAAGGCTCTAATGCCTGAGATAACAGAATCTTAGCTCTGAGAGTGTCCACCTTTTATAGATATGATATGGCCCTATTTTTACAGCCCAAGACCAAAAAGGTAGTTTCTGAGGTAGCAATTTGGCCTAAGGAGGAGATAAAATGAACCTCAGATTTGAACAGGAGACTTAAGTCCTGTTCTCATCTTGGTTCCTAGCAATGGCTAGGCACTTAACCTCTCACTGCCTGAATTGTAAAATGGGATGATGATGTCTGACCCATTTATCAACAGAGATGTGGAGAGGATGAGAACGGTAATCTAAGGGGAGAAAATACCATGAGTTCAACACAGACTAGTCATAACACTCTTTTCCTCTAAACCTTCACTCAGATTGAACAGGTTCTGAAAAATGGTATGTAAGTGAATGTTATCCATTCCATAACATTTATGTGGTTTCGGTTTTTGTTTTCTTTCAGAAGTAATTCTGCTATTTGCGATGGGAGGACTTGAAGGAACTGGGCAGCGAACTCTCTCTCACAGGTAGGAAACAGAAGTATGGGATGCTGAATGATTTGCTAAGGACAACAGAACTTTCCCACATTGTTCTGGTCGTGTGGCGCAATCAGGAGCCTCACCCTTTTAAGAAATGCCAGCATACCAGGCCAGGAGGGCAGGCAGCAGGTCATGTGTGTTTTGAATCATCTGCCAAAAGATTCTAAAGATTATTTTTAACGTTCTAAGATTCCTGCGAGATGAAAGGTGATCTTAATAAAATGCAAAAGTGCAAAAGTTGTAGAGAAATCATGAAAATGGAACATTTTAGTCCCTCTCTGCCTCACTACTTCTGAGGCTGTGTCATGGATCTGTCCTCTCCCCTCTTCCTGAGTGGCCCGGAAGATTCCTCTGGACTCTGCTCCACTCTGTCCCCAAACAGCTCATCAGCTCTTCCGGGGTTGTCTTGCCTGAGCTA